TGGTTATTAAAAATAAAAAAATAAAATAAATTGAAAAAATTAATATAAGAAATAAATTAAATTATTTTTTTATGGTAAATATGATAAAATTCATTAATATATATTACAAACGTGAGAATTATCACATCTTTTAAAAATTTTATGAATTATAATTTTTAATTTTATAAACTGAATTACCTCTCTTATTTATGAATGTAATTCATCACATTTTTTGATTATATTATTTTTATTTTTATTTTTTTGATCCATTTTGTTCATTTCTAGTAATTAAATAAAATTTTAATCCTTCCTTGATGCTCATCATTTTTTCATAGTGGAAGGAAAGTAATCCACCTCTGCCATGAATCCACCTCTCCTATTGCCATGGAATGAGCCTGCTACAAGTAATTACCATTTTCATATCGAATGAGTCTGCTGCAAGCTGCTTCACCATCTTAATTAAATGATCCACCGACGTCAAGTTTAACCCAACATATACCTGGAAATCTCCAATTTTTTTTTATCCGTAGTTCTATCAATTCTATCTTTGAAACCTTCAAGGTTGATATCTTCACTCACGACCTAAGTTACCAAGAATGCTATATCTTTTTTTTTTTTTTTTATGGTGCTTCGTGCCAAAAACTTTGCTACATCTATTCTTCCACAACATCCTGCAAGTTTGTGCAAAAATTCTCTCCCAAGGAAGCCTTCTTGTTGCTCTATTGCCCACTCTTGTTTTCCCCTCCCACATCCAGTCCTGCAAAGACAAAGCAAAACTTAGGAATTATTGATGTTTTACCTAACGTAGACCCTTTTAAACATATTATTTCATGATTGAAACAGAGCAGGGAAGAGTGCTTAAAACTGTAATTAGAAAATTCTTTTAAACATTCCATAGCAAACGACAACAATTTGAGGAGGACACGATCGATTCTTACTTTCTTGCGAAATAGAAGTAATTCTAGAGCACTTAATTTCACTAGTTATTTTTTTTTAATGGAACTGGTTCAGTTTCATGAAGTAAAACATTATCTAAATTTCACCTAAAGCTTATTATCAATGATTTTTTTGTTTGTGATTATCTAAATTTTAATTTGTTTGTGATTATCTTATTAGGAGTGAAATTGTTACGAAAAATATTTTAGGACACCGGGTGTTCCTTGGAGAGTAGTTTAGGGGCAAAAATACACCTTAATTCTTTTAATTTTAAATATTAAAATTTAATAATTACTAACTTGAAATAACACAAACAAACAGCCTTGACATACTATCCTTTTGATGAAAATTCTTACTAGAAAATCATCATTATCAATAGAAATTTTAATATTTGATAATCTTAAATAAGATTGTCTCTAGTAAAAAGAAATTGTTACATGATTAAAAAAATATAAATTTCAGACAACTCATTATTCTGTTTGAAATACCTATTTTTCATACAGCAACAAGTAAATTAATCCGCACATACAGTTACGTTAACGTCTAATCATTGTTACAGTTACATTACAATTTTGTCTTAAAAAATTCAAAATGAGAAACCAATCCATACTTACTGTGTTAGTTAACGGTAGTTAATTGCACGAAATAGAAACCACCCCTCAGGAAAAAGGACACGTCGCTTGGCAGTTGCGGCTAGTTTTGTTTGAAATTCCAGAATTCAAAACCATATATATGTTGAAAACTGCTTCCTTATTCATCGACTAATCAATTAATGAACAAGTGAATGAACGTTATCATCGTTGTTCCTTCATCACTGTAGTCAAAGAACAAGGCTTTTTCTGAGACTTGAATTGAATTCCAACAATAACAAGAACAACAAAAACCATGGCTTTCTCATCTCGTTTTCAAGAATCTCTTACCAGAACTGCACTTCGAGCCTACCTTGCTGAGTTCATCTCCACTTTCTTCTATGTCTTCACCGTCATTGGCTCCGGCATGTCTTCCAGTGAGTTTTTGTTTCTTTTCTTTCTTGTCTCGTCTTGATTTCACGTGATACTTCAGATTTTGCTCCTGTGTGTGACTCTGTCGTGATATAAGCATCTTACTTAAAGTTATTTTATATAGATGACTGCCACACAAAAAATGCAGATTCCTTAATATGATAGAAAAAATTCTCTGGAAAACCAGCCGTGAAGAGTATATTCTTGCATTATTATATATGGTGTCATTTTTGGTGTTTTGACTTTAGAATTTTAAATCATCCAAAGAATATATAAATCTCTTAGTTTCTTTCTTTCTGGTGAATAATAATAAATCTCTTGTTCCTATTAGCTAGATCTTGTATACATAGTAATATAAATGTTGCATTATATGTTGAAGAAAAGTAGCGCAGAAGAGTTTGTGTGGGATATTTAGTTCTTTTTTTGGTCTTTTCAACTACTTTCTGTTTTAATTTATTCTCATATGTTTCTAGATTAAAACTGTATATTATTTACCATTATTTATTAACTAACTGTGGCATATCATGATCCGTGCATTTATGTTCCTAATAAGAAAAAAATTAAGTAAAATGATAGATGAAGTAATTATTCTTTCTTTGAGGCTATTTATCATTTAAAACGTTCAGATTACTTTAAATATTGCATGCTATGATCATCTTCTTCAAGTGATAGGTGAAATAATTGGTTGGACCGATCCCACCAATTTACATAGTCAAGTAATTAAGAGTGAGAAAAATTAATCAAGAGAACTCAAAAATCAAGTTGATGACTTTTGACTAATGACAAACTCATCAAATCTTATAGTGATTTGGTCATCAACATATATATGAATCACTCACTGACCTGATAATATATATAAGTGTGTGTGTGTGTGTGTTATATATTTATTGTATGTCTAATGATGATGCATTCAGGGAAGTTGAAGGGTGAAGCAACAATGGAGGCAGCGAGTCTGGTGGTTGCAGCCATAGCCAATAGCTTGGCTTTATCTTCAGTACTGTTTATGGCTTGGGACGTTTCAGGAGGACATGTGAACCCTGCAGTGACCTTTGCAAGGGTTGTTGGAGGCCATATGAACGTATCAACAGCTCTCTTCTATTGGATTTCTCAGATGATTGCTTCTGTCATGGCCTGCCTTCTCCTCAAGATCACTCTTGTTGGAATGGTATTGTATTGTATTGATACACAGAAAAGTATTTTCTAAAAAAATCCTTTATTAATTTTTTTTTATCAAACAAACATTGTTGTATTGGTCTTGCTTTTATTCTCTTCCCAGTTGAGAATGTTACTTATATGTGCATAGAGTATATAACACTGGTTTTCTCTCTCTTGATTTTGCTTGAATCATGCACATAAGTTTTCTTTTTATTTAAAATTTAGACAAGATTTTCCAAAAAAGTAATTTTTCCAGTTTTTACTTTCCTTTTAAATTGCACATTTTTTTTAGGGTAGGTTTGTATTATATTAGTAAAATTCAATGAGACCTTGTATAAATCATCTTATAATTTAGGGCTGGCGTATGTGATTTTTTAAAATAAAAGGGCATGTCTGTGTGTGTTTAGAAATTCATTGAAAACAAAATGAAGGTTGGTATGAATCAGAATAAAATTCCGGGACAATTTATATATATATATATATATATATCATTTGAAAAGCAGATAATGTTTAAGTTTAATTTCAATAAAATGTAAGGGTGATTTACCTAATTTAATATTGTTTGAGGAAAAAGATTCGTGCAATCTCTAGGAATAGAGAAGTTCATGTAATTTCAGTTAAGAATTTAAGATTGAGGAAAAGTCTCTGTAATTTATTTTTTATTTTAGTTTAATTATACATTAAGTTCATGTAAATTCAGTTAAGAATTTAAGATTGAGGAAAAGTCTCTGTAATTTATTTTTTATTTTAATTATATATAACTTTCCTTTATTTTTACAACATGTCTGGTTTAATTTGTACAGCACGTCCCAACATACGCAATAGCACCACAAATGACAGGTTTTGGGGCATCCATAGTGGAAGGAGTTCTTACATTTGCATTAGTCTACACTGTGTATGCTGCTAGGGACCCTAGGCGTAGTGGTCAACTGGGGTCAACAGGTGCCCTAGCCATCGGCATGATGGCCGGAGCTGATGTCCTAGCTGCCGGTCCCTTCTCCGGTGGGTCGATGAATCCAGCTTGCGCCTTTGGGTCGGCCGTCATAGCCGGCACCTTCAAGAACCAAGCAGTGTATTGGGTTGGACCATTAATTGGTGCTGCTGTTGCTGCTCTTGTTTATGACAGTGTAGGGTATCCTTCTCAGAATGCTGATTCATTTGTAGAAGCAGATAGGGTGTGAATTAAGCTGTTAAAGTAATGAAGTTTAATGTAGAAGACATATTTATATTATTTGTAGTGATATTATTATTAATTAGTTGCTAGAGTTTATATTTGCAAGTGTGCATGGGTGGTTGATGAACACTGTTGTTTAAGACTTGTATGAGTTCTTATATATTTGGTTAGTACAAAGTTTCACAATTTTCATGAAGCTGATAGCCATAAATAATTATCACTTCAATCTTGTATGAAAATTAAAGATTCAGAACAAAATAGTTGAAAAGCTTCATTCTCAGTCAACAACTCAGGCGTGCGTGTAAGAAGTAGCATCAGCCTTTCAATCTTTTCAAGGATTTGATGACTTGCTGTTATTATGTTGCATCAAGGTTGCAAAGTTTTTACTACATTCATGTTTTGATCTGACTTGAGTTATTTGAGAATATATATTCTAGATAATATTAAGACTCAATTATTTTTTTGTTCTTTTCAATAAGAATTCTATTGCGAATTTAGTATTAGACATGCGAATTTTCCTCGGGTGAAGATAGATAACAACCTCATTTTTGTGTTGAAGAAAATCAACGAGCTACCACTAGCATGAACCATTTCATATCAAGCAGAGTTGAATTCTCAATTTGAGACTAATGTGAAACTATATATCATTAATTAAGCAAATATGCTGGCATATATAATTTAAGAAGTCGCAATAATACAGTTCAACCTTCAATCTTTCCCTTCAGGCTATGGTGATCAGATTGGAAAATCAGGGATAACTGATAAGTGACAACCATATCATTCCCAAATGTACCAAATACACAGAGCTCCAATCTCAGGATTCATGACTTGAGCTTTATGCATAATTGACCTCACAAATACATATCAAGTAAATTAGACAGCAACGAACAAACTCACCACAATTTTTTTGTTAAAACATACAAAAGAAAATACAGAATGCTCTCTAAGAATGGATTAGACCAAATGCTAAGCAGTTTCACTTCTGTCAAGCTCTTCAAAGGAGAAAAATTCAAGCAATGTGCAAATTCTGAACAGCCAGCTAGATTTAGAATTTCCAATGAGTATAGAGCAAATAAGCGATTGGGAATACTAATAAGATTGATGCAATTTCTCAAATTCAAGAACTTGAGCTTTGAAAGTTCGGCAATAGATGGATCCAATTCCAATAATCCAGTACAACCTTCAAGGTCAAGTCTCTCAAGATTTGGAACTCCTCCAAAATCTGGCGTCTTGATCAAAGTTTTGGAGCCACAAAGATTCATTTTTCTTAACTTAAGGAGCATCTGTCATTGAGCAAAATTTTGATAGTGGAAATAATTAGTTATGAATATATAGGTGATGGTATATGATCTATATCAAGCATGCATGATTTGAATATTGAAGAAATAAAAGAACTTTAACATCACCATTTTGCCCTTCCACACTTCTGTGACGTTGCTATCAGGCATAATCAATTGAACAAGTGTATCAGACTGAAAACTCGATGGCAAAGAAGTGAATGGATATTGATGCCATGAAACATGTTGTAACTTGCTCGAAAGATTATCGAGGGTTCCAGAAAAATGCACATTACGAAATATGAGCAATCTGAGGTTGATCATCTGTGATAAAGCTTCGATCCTCAATGTAACCCCTTTTGGCTCTTCCAAATCCAAGACTATAGCTTCAACATTTTTTATCACCTATAGGATTAAATGCATTTATGAACGGAAAAAAATGAAATGTTAGATTATTCTCTAACTTTTCAAATTGTAACATGCTTTACTAAAAAGGGGTAACAAAAAACTTACCATGTTTCTTTCTTTCTCCATAACATATTTGATATCATTGAAAAGGTACAACCGACGGCGTTTTTCTGGCTGATTTGGACATTCTTGTCTAACAATTTCTCGCCCCATTGCTTGTGACATTCCATGCATTTGTATTCCTTGATTTGCAATTGTAATAAGTGATTTTTGAATAAGAAGTTTGATTCCTATATCGGCAGGGAAACCAGAATCATGTAAAATTTCCTTCACACAATTAACATTCTTTCCTGCAAAAAAACATGCTATGTCCAAAAAGATTTCCTTACTCCTATGATCAAGTTCATCAAAACTTTTTCTAAGGACTATTATGATCTCATGGGGAGGAATAATTTCTTCTCTATCCAAGAAACTTCTCCATTCTGCCACGCTTTTTCCAAAAAAGAATGAACCCAATATTTCAATTGCTAGTGGAAGCCCATTAGCATATTTCAATACCTTGTCTATCATCTCTTGAAAATCATTAACAGGATAATCCTTTGGAAAAGCTATAGAACGGAATATTATAGAACCTTCCTTCTTAGACAACAATTTAGGTCTATAAATTTTCTCAACTCCAGACATTTCAAGGACTTGTACATCTCTTGTTGTTATTATGATTCTACTCCCTCTGCCAAAACAAATAGATTTTGCAATCAAGTTCAATTCCTCAATATCTTGCACATGATCTACACCATCAAGAACTATGAGAACCTTGTGTTTTCTTAATCTTTTCAAGAACTCTTCGCCTTGAGGATACATAAGACAAAAATCTGCTGTCTCCAAGTTTCTATGAATGAGTTCTTGCAAAGATAAGTCACCATGCTTCAAACGTCTACTCACATTAGGAAGGAAACAAAAAGAATCAAAAAAGTGAAGGATCTTAAGATATAGAACTAAAGCAATGGATGACTTCCCTGATCCGCCCATACCACAAATGCCTATACCTTGAACTTCATCGTCTGAGCTCAAATCCAAAATCTGTTCTACTTCTTCCACTCGAGATTTCATCCCAACATATCTGAAAAAGCCATAAAATAGTTTATCTATTTTTGACTTGACTTCTTTGACAATCTTCGGAATAACTTGTGATCTTGATCTGCAAAAAAGATGAACCAAAAACACCCAATCATCAAATTTTTTCCCTCCTAGGCATGATAAAAAAAAAATTATCCTTTGTTAACATTGGTGTAGTTGTATTACAGTAATATATCTTGAACATCGATCTAAAACTCAACTTACAATCCAGTGTGTGTGTGTGTGTGTGTGTGTACACACAGAAAAATAAATTATTTGTCATAAAAGAGAAGGATATACATCACACATATGTCATTGTTTGCGTGAAATGAAAGTGGCACCTCACATGTATGGGGCATGCTAGAGAAGTGAGTCCTTAATCTAAGTAATGCGGATCTCAAGATCCTTTACCTCAATTATCTTGGATTATTGAGACCAAGTTCTTCACCGGGAAACCAAATTGTATTAGAGAAACTAGGGTGAGTACAAAGCCATGTTAACAGAAAATATATGTGATCTGATGGCTAGAGCTAAACCTTGGTTAGGCTAAGGAATCTATGTTATAGTAGTACAGGTATTTTGGATGCCCCTTTCTAACCATCTTCCCCCATTTTATAAGAGGGAGATTAGCTATGCCATTTTGAATTTGTAATCGTTTATGCCATCGCATGAGGAGGTTATTCCCTTTTACTAGTTTGCATGATGCTTTGCTAAAATTGAGAACGTGGGCTCGTGACTTCTCTTTTAAGTTAACGGAGGCAGCACATTGTTTTACTTAAGCTTCGCTGCTCCATGCTACCCATTCGGCTTTAGCATTCTGGACTCATGTACTTGCTCCACCTTGCAAGGCTAATATCCGTATCAGGTCCAATCATAATTTTAGACCAAACAATTTCTCGAGTGTGTGGTAACTCTTCATTGACTAAGGGTTGCATGTAAAGCTGGTAATTCGAGCTAGCTCGAACTTACTCAAAAAAAGTTAGAGTCAAGCTTGGTTATATGAACCTTTTAAAGAGGATAGGATGCTTTAAGCCTGATTCGAATAAATACGGCCCAAATTGAGCTTAACAGTTGAATTTTTTTGACTCTATAAGTATGTTAAGTTGGTAATTTTGGCTAAGCTCGACAGGCCAGCCTGGATCCTTCCAAAAAAAAGTTAAGGTCGGGCTTGGTTATATGAGCTTTTTTAAGAGGGTAAGATATTTTAAGTCCCATCCAAATAAGCTGGTCCGAATTGAGCCCGACTCAAAATAAGCTTGGTCTACCTGAATTATCAACTCTAGTTGCATGCTCTAAACCTCTTTCATTGAATGCCATCCGGTCGTTCTTAGCTCATCAATGGTTAAAAACGTGTGCACATTTTTAGAGAATTACACCACATTCAAATATCTGTAACAGGTCTGACTCTTCGCTTACTTCCTCTTTGGTCTAAATTTGGTCCATTCACTCCATGATTATTTCACTGTTTCCTCTTACTTTGAAGATTTATTGAACTTCTATCATCAAACTAAAACTTGTAATGGCATCCTAAAGTCTTGCAGCTTTTAAGGTAAGGTTTCTCGACTTCATCTTGATGGCTGTAGGTCAATCATATAGAACTGGTCATGAAACTTGTTCTCCATTTTAATCCAACTCATGATGGAGTTCTTAAGAAGTCTTGCATGCTAAATGAATGCTCTTCCCATTAGTGAGTTGGGAAAGACTCTTAACTTCATATTGTCCATGCGGCCTAGCTCTCCACATTGGAATGTGAACCTGGGCTATGTGCTCTAAGGTAGATAAACCTTCACCTTTAGAGAACAATGTAAACTCTGGGACACAAAAACCATAGGGAACAAATATTCTCAATTGATGTACTCTAAATAGGGACGGCTACAAATCAGGTCCATAAAACTCTTGAACCACTTCTCTAATGGGATCGACATGTATGGATAGTGATTTTATGAGTGGGAATACTTCCTCCCTCTCATCTCTTGATCGTGATGGAGTCGACTCATGTTTACGCCTGCTACACTATATTCAAGACTCTAAGATCCAGCATCATGCTTCTCGTTATTAGTATTTGATTGAGTTTGTTGCATGGTTTTGACAATAGGGTCTCACCAAGTATGCCAGAAAAGATTTTTAGCATGAATTGGGAGCAGCACCTTTATGCAATGGACATACCAGAGGAGTGAGTCATCAATCAAGATGTTATGGATCCTAATATCCTTTACCTCAATTCTCTCGGATTATCAAGACTAAACCAACGAGTGAGGCTTAATTGACTGAGAAATTGAGTTGCATTAAAAGAACTAAGGCGAGAATAAAGCTATATTAACCTAAAGTGTAAAAAATATAATGGCTAGGGCTAAACCTAGGTCAGGCTAAGGAATCTATGTTAGAATAATGCAGGTATTTTAGGAGTAAGTTAGTTGTCTTGAGTTTTTAGTTTGGTTGGTTGCTCCTTTTTACTATTTCACAATTTCACAATATGCCCTGCTAAATTTGGAATGTGGGCTTGTAGTTTCCCTTGAAAGTTACAGAGGCAACACATCATTTTACTTAAGCGTCGTTGATCCATGCTGCCTATCAGGCCTTAGCATTTTGGACTCATGTATCTACTCTAACTTGTAAGTCCAATATCTGTCTCAGGCCCAATCATAATTTTAGGCCGAACAATCATATACAAGAAGAAGCTTTATCCCAGTAGGTGAGATCAATTATATAAATTGTATGATACCATTGTACTTTATCATCAACCAAGCTTTTAGAAATACTTTTAACTAAGAGGTCTCGTTCAACAATTTTCTTAAGTGTTTTTTTGAGTCTTCTTCTACCATTTTTTATAAGACTTAAGATTATCCATTCCACTTTCCTTACCAATGCTCTCATGGCCTTCTCTATGCATGTCCAAATCATCTGAAATGATTTTTCACCATTTTCTCCTCAATAGATGCTGCATCTCTTTTTCTTGCATATACTTATTTCAAATTTTATCTTTTTATGTATGCCACATATTTATCTGAGCATTTTCATTTCTGCTATTCTAACTTTATACTTCTATTGTCCCTTTAAAGTCTAACATTTATTACTATATAATATAGATAGTTGATTTTATAGCAATTTGATAAAACTTCTCTTTCAGTTTATTAAGTACATTTTAATTACAAATAACTCATTTAGCCTCTCTTCAAATAATCCATCAAACTTGTATCCTATGTGCAATATTCTTTTCAATTTTTCTATCATGTTGAATAATATATCTCAAATATCTAAACTTTTTCATATAAAGACAAATTTCTAATTATAAACTAAAAAACAGTGATAGAATTACAAATAATAAAGAGATATAAAATCTACTCTACCTAACCTTGAGCGTTCAAATTTCCCAACGGAGGACAGTAATACTACGCTCTATTTGGAGCAAAGGCTAGAAACCAAACGCATGCGTGAATAGAATTTAAATTAAAAATACTTTTTCTCGTTAAAAGTGAATACATAGTTCCCCACACACACACACACACACACACACACACACACACACACACACACACACACATGCATAAAATAAGTCAAATGGATCCCTCTTAAAATTTTGTTTATCCAAAGTTTCTTTATTCTCTAGCTTCACAACTAATACAAGTCTCGCCTGAATTTTACTAAAATTATATGTACCTTCCCTTTAAAACCAGATGTAAAATAAATATTAAATAATATATAGGAACCTCTATAAAATGTTATTAAAAATATATGTATATGCCTCTAATTTTCAAAGCATAGAACTTGCATCGAAAATAAAAGAAATGTATGTGTAATTTTAGATAAAACTAGGGTAGATCTGTGTAATTTACTTTTATTTTAAATGAAAATTTCTGCAAATTTTGAAAATGGAATTTGCATAATAATTAAATAAAACCATGGGAACTCAATATAATTCACTTTTTTTTTCCTTAATGACAACTATTGCCGCGACAAGCGGCAAAGGAGAGAGCCTTTATGATGAAGTTCAATGGGCTTATCATAGCTTCACTATTAGAGATATAGTTTGTATTGGGGATCATTTTTTCTTTTAAAAAAGGAAACGTCTCATATTTGGGAGCAATAATTCTTGAATTCAAATTATTTAAAAGTAAGAGATAAGGTATTGTAATTCAAAATAATCATATAATTCAATAAAAATCAAAGTAGGCGTGATTTATTCTAGTACGCGGTACTAATTAATCAAACTGATGCTTTTTAATTCAGAAGGATATCAATGGCCGCTGAAACAAAAATATGTGCAGTAGTTCCCCCATTGAAAACATATATAAGTGAAAAAAATCAAGAGTAAAATAAGATTAAAGTTCAAATCTTTCTTACCTTAATTATGTAAAATATATAAAGCAAAAATTTAAAAAATAGAATTACTTACTCATACTGTAGATCCCAGCCGGAAAGATTGGTCACTTTTTGCATAGCTTCCTCGAATAAATTTCCCGGGAAGCTCTCTTGCATGTGTTGAGCAAAGGATTTTGAATCTACATCGTAAAAAACTGGAATTATCCTATCTGCATTATTGCTGCGTCCACAGAGATCGGCCGGTTGTTTCATATGTTGCCACCATCTTTTTATCAGCTCGTCCAGGTCTTCCTCGTTCCTTTCTGCTCGGTTAGGTATGAATCCATATCCTCTCTTAAATGACCATTTTGGCTTTTCCTTAAGAAAGAGTCGCCCAACAACCTGCGACAGCTCCTCTAAACACCAAGATGAAGAAACATAGCTTTTGGAGAGGACCAAGATCAAAATCCAGGATTCTCTCATTGCTCGGAGAAGCTCGTCCGGAAAAGCCATATCTGGGATTTCACGACTCTTGTCATCTCCCACGATTCTGAAACCTTGTGCTTCAAGAGCACCAGAAAGGCTTTTGATGAATCTACGTGTATCGTCGCCGCCTCGATAGCTGATATATACATGGGTCGGTTTTAGTGATGATCTGCTCTCGAAATCCTCCATGGCAGGAATTGAATTGAAATTGATAAATGGAATCACAGTTGCTTAATATTGATGGGGCTTTGGTTCCACTGTGGTATTCCTCTTATATAATGATATGCGGCGTCTCCAGTCACCTCAATTATTTTAACTGTTCCTTTTTTAAATGGCCAAGTCTTTCTGTGGAATCTGCCCAGAGAGCTTTTTTTTTTTTTTTTTAATATTGGATCACTGAAGCCCCCCACAGCTGTTCTCAAGTAAAAAAGTTGCGACTTTTGTATGTTTATGTATAGTTGGGAATCATCTCCAGTCGCCATCACGGTGGTGATGCTCCTCATCATCTGAACCAGATAATTTAATCTAAATATTTCAAATTTAAAAATTTTAATTTATTTTATAGTTATTAATTACAATAAAATGTTTTAATAAATTTATTTATTTCCGACTAAAAATTTTAGATTTAACTTAACTTATTCAAATTAAATCTAAACTTGTAAAAACCTTGTGATGAGCGCCTTGTGAAATCTTTTTATTATTTATTAAAACAAATATTTCTAAAATTTTTAATAAATCTGTTTATTACTGATCTCGGCAGTATTATGTAGATTTAAAACTTCTAACTTATAATTTTTTGAAAAAATTGAGAAGTGCTAATAAGGATATTAGATTTATTTTTAGTATTTTATTTGCCAAAATAAAAATTTAAAAAATATAAAAATTTAATATTAAATCTGAATCATTTAGAGTAAATCGCTATCTAAATACCAGATTTATTAAAGCTTTATGAATTTTTTTATTTTAGTAAATATAAAATAAAAGATAAAAATAAAAAAAATTAAATTCAAACAGTTCATATTTGATAAAAACTTGATAATCATAGCCATGATTAGCACCTAATGTGCTCATCGCTATTATTTGTTTTTGTGATGAGCATCCAGATGTGATGACGAGAACAAGGCACCGCCATCCTTTAACACTTACCATGCGAGAATTTCTCAAATGTATGATGTTTTAATTAAAAAAATATAATAAAATTTTTTTAAAATATATAAATAATAATTTGATCTCTTAAAATGTTATAGTTCTCCCAAAATTTTTAGGAACTTTTTATTATTAATTATTTCATATAAATTATTAAATTATTCTTGTTGAAAATAAATAATTCATAATTTTTCTTTTTATATTCGTAATTTTTTTCTTAAATTCACAACAATGCAACAATAAATCATAATTTTGTTGTTAAATTCTTTATCTGCTGTTACATTATTGCGAATATAAAAAAATTGAGAAAAAAAAGTTGTGAATCATTTATTTTCAACAAAGGTAATTTGATAATTTATATGAATTCATTAATGACAAAAAGCCTCTAGAAATTTAAGGAGAATTATGACATTTCAAAGGATTAAATTATCATTTATATATTTCAGAAAAATTTTATTATCATGTTTCCTTCTAACTATATCATGTATTTTAAGCAAAAGTCCATTAAATATTATTAAATTTGTATTAAAAATAGTCTACAATTCCACTTTACCCATATCATTTTTTTTTCCTACCAAAACTTTACCTATATCAATTTAATGAATATAAACATAATAAAACTTTCACTCTTTTTTTAGCAAGTGATTAACAATATCATTCATAGAATGTCTTGCAGATAAAAATTGGGAACCATTATTTAATGTGTAGATATAGTTTATATTATTAAATCAAGCCAATCAAATAGTTCAATATTTATTATATTTTATATTATAATTAATTTATTATAATTATTAATGATATATATTCTTTATAAATTTTTAATAATAAATTTTTTATATATTAACGTGAATCTATTACACTTTTAAATTTTAAAAAATTTGACCCATATTTTTTTAGCAGAAGATTTGTTCGGACAAGTGATCCAATTTATCCTATATAATATCACATGAAACCTGATACCATGACTTGAGTACTGTAGCAACACGTGATGGCGTTGGATGGTCTGCTTTTGTTTATCTTTAATTTGACCGCTCTTTTTTTTTTTGCATTTGCCCTTTTATTTTTAGCGTTTTTACACACACACGCACATGAAATGACCCCATTGGCTCGACTTTTTTGAGTGCCGCTCCCCTCGTTTTCTGCGTGTGGGAGACAGTTTTAAATATTCCATCCGTTCAAAAATATATAATATTTTTAATTAAATTTTATTTTTAATAAAATAATTATTTATTTTTAAACTAATTTTATTTTTTAAAATTTTTTTATTAAACACTTTATAATAAATATAAAATCATTCATTAATAAGGATGTTTTCAGAAAAAAAAACAATAATTATATCTTAAAAAAATAAAAAATATTTCATATTTTAAAATATTTAATTTTTTAAAAAATATTTTATATTTTTAAAAAAAGATAGTATTTTTTAGTGAATCTAGAAATGAAGGAAGGAGACCAATAAAATAAAACTTGAACTTTGAAATGAAAAGACGATGAGTTCGTTGAGGTGGAAATTTCTGGGAGTTTTCCCTGAAAGAGAAATGAAGAAGGGTATCTAATTTCTATACAAGTGCGTGGGCCTTAAATATTAATAGTTTTGTTGATTTGTTACTTCATCCATTTAAAAATAAAAAATATTTTTTCAAAAGTTAGATATTAAAAAATATAAAATATTTTTAATTTTTAAAATATAATTATTATTTTTTTGAAATATCTTTATTAAATAAATTATTTTATATTTATTTTAAAGTGAAAAATTTTATTAAATAAAAGTAAAGATAAAAATATTATATTAGTTTAAAAATAAATAATTATTTTATTAAAATATAAGATTTAAATATTTGAATAGAAAGAATATATATATTTTGCCTGTTAGGCTATTTTAACAAGAACAATGATATGAAAAGATTGTCACAAGGTGGAAATATCTGGGAGCTTTCCCTGCAAATGATATAAAGAAGGGTTTCTAATTTTCACGCAACTTTTGATAATTTATTTTTTGGCCACACCTTTGATTAGAATTAAATTACAAGTTCTGTTCATTTCCTAATTATACTTTTTCATCCTCCCTCTCTTTCTTTTGTTTTTTTTTTTTTCAGGACAATTACATTAAACTTTTACATAAAAAAATTAATTGCTATAAAGTTTATTGATAATCAAACTAAACTACTCTTTCTAGTCCTATTTATAAGACAAAGAGAAAAAAAATTTTTTAGTTCTATTTATAAGTCACGTCATTAAATTTTTATTATAAATTTTCTTTTCTACCCTTCATTGAATGATAAAGAAAGAAAATATATTATTAAAGTATGTATATTTAATAAGGATAAAGTTCAGAACTTTTTAAATTTTAAGATAAAGCTAATGAGTTTTAAGATTTTTTTTTATACTAGTGAAATATGTTGGAAATGACTTATAAATAAAATTAGAGTAGTACATTGATAATATAATCAGTTATTAATGCAGTTTAGTTAAGTTATTAATTGACCTTACAGTAATTAATTTTTCTATATGGGATCTAATTGTAATTCTTTTTTTTTTTTAACCACTTCATCTTTTGACTATTGGGTTACTTTTTTTTTGAAAGACTGTTAGGAACTTTAATTTAATAAGCTGCGATTGTGAAGCGGGTAAAAAGTTGACACAGAAAAAGGACCCAGAAACTATGCCCCTTTGATAGTAATTCTTGACGATTTTTTTTAAGTATATAATTCTTTACAATAATTCGGAGAAGCATTGGTGCGGTAAATGAAGATATCATTATACACAAGCAGTTGCCGGTGGTTTTGGTGCATATTTTTATGAGTAACCCCGTTTTAGAATCCGAAAAACGTTTGAGCGAAGAGAAAATTAGAGAAAACTAAAGTAATTAAAAATTACTCCTAAAACTTTGAAAGTTGCCTTAGTAACCAATGGTTTTGGTTATTTTTATTTTGATTTTTCTATTTCATTTCATTTTTATTTTTTCTAATAATCAAACGAGAGATATTGTATATCATCATAGATTTACCTCCCATAGTTAATAAGATTTGTATATGCTAAAGTTAAGATTTGCATTCCCTTCAATGTCCCCACCTCAAAGTATCCCAAGGAGAATTTGTTTTAAATCCTCTTCCATAAAATATTAGGAGTAATACATAAAAAAACATAATTATTAGTCCTTATAATTTTAACATATTTTGATATAGATTTTTATAATTTTTTTTATTGATCCATGTCTCTCTAGTTTATCTCGTGCGCAGCATTGATCCTTCCGCTTTTTAATGTCTAAAAAAATAATATAAAGTGATGCCAACGTTGTTAAATATGTTTAGAGCTGTACATTAGGGCCAAGCTCGTAGGGCTAGCTTTTTTAAGTCTGAAAAAATTGAGGGCCAAATTGCTATTTTGACATTTAAAAAGGTAAATCAGACTTAAAAGGACTGACACTTTTAAGCCCGAAAATAAAAAGGCTGGCCCTTTAGGGCAGAGCCGGCCCTTTTACGCCTTAATATTTTTTTAAAAAAGCATAAATTAATAAATAAAAAGAGGACACCACATTACTCAAGCTTAGCACTCGCTTTCTAATTTAAATAGTAGACACGCACATTATTATTTGCTTACTTTAAATATTTTTGCATTCTTTAAATACCTTAAAATTATAATTTTGGTTTATTATTTATTGCAAATAATGAGGATGAAGAAGGAAGATATGAAAAGCTTAACATATTTGACATTGATGAGGATCCACAAGGAGAAGGATCAAATCATATTAATGTTGATAATGATGAAAATAATCAAAATTTAGCTGATGATGCTACCAATATGTAATTGATGTCGGAGTTGATTTTGAAATGTTATTTTTTATCAGACTTAAAATTTTAAATTTTAAATTTTTAAATTGAAAAATTTTAAAAATAATTAGGACCAAGGCCCCTTTCAGCCTTAAGAGCCAGGGCCAGGCTGCTAAAAATAGAGTTTTGAGATATAATCGAGTTTAAAAGGGTCAGTCTGTTTAGGCCTTGGCCCTTTAAGAGCTAGCCTTTTAGAATTGGGTTGGCCCTAATTGACACCTCTAAATATGCTAATATATGACTAACATTGTTAATCTTTGTGTTAAGGTAAAA